CAAGGGGATATGGTTCACCTTGCAGCTTGACACCAAGGCCGCGGAGATAAGGACACTCAGACTGCCCCGACGCTTTCTGCATCCACCGAGGCCGAAGCAGGGACCAGACCCCAACAGTAAGCGTTCGCAGAGGCGGGCCAAGCAAAAGAGTGCAGGGGCCTCGAGACGCTTGGAGGCCACCCAGGATCATGATGAGGTTGCAGACGTTCACACTCGAGCTACACCTGAGGGTCGAGGTCTTCCACCCCCGAACGCCGACGAGGTTTGCACCATCATGGGGCTGGAGCCAGCACGTGTCGTCAGCCTCACGGACCCACTCCCTGGACCTTCGGAGCCGAGCTACTCCTCGACGGCGGCCCCCAGGACATCGATTGCACCAGCCCCGGCGGGCCTCGACATAGACGAGCCCGAGGTCGACTTCGACGAGATTCTTCACGCGAACGAGGAGACCGAGTGCGACCTCGGCCAAGATGACGAGTTATACGAGGGCCAGCCCGAGGCAGACGGGAGCTGAAGCACCTGACGCCCGCGCGACGGAGCGCACCGGTGCCGACGACGGGGCTGCCATGGGCCCCGACCTCGCGGCAGGCCACCCTGCTGGTCTTGCTCAGGTCATGGAAACTCGCCTTCAGGAAAACCCCCCCCCTAAGGATCCTTAAGGGGGGGTTTTGGGAACACGACCCGGCCCTGGAACATCGCGAATGGGGAGGCCTGCCGCTCGCGCCCGAGGAAGCTGAGAAAGCAGTACGGGCAGTGTCCCTCACGGAGGCGGAGAAGAGCATGATCTGGACGCAGCTCGACAGCCCGATGCACGACACCAGTCCGCCACGCTACGTGGCCGACTCCTGGGCGCTCGCCTGCGGCCCTGCCTCTCTCGCCCTAGGCCGGGCTTTTTCGAGCTGGGTCAGCAAGCTCGAATTCTTTTTTCTGTCGCGTGTACGACATCCCAGAGAAACAGCGCCACCAGTTTTGTGGCAGAGGGAAACCAGCGGTCCCCATCGTTCACCTGATGCAGAGGAAAGACCAGCCGGCTAGGTTCGTAGATCCCGTGGCCCGATGGTGGTCTGAGGTGGCAGCCTTGGCAACTGTGGGCTACGGTGCAGCAGTCAAAGCTGACGGGGGGCGGCCTATGATGGCCCAGGGTCTCGAAGCCCAAGCGAAACTGGCGGATCGTGCGGCCTCGGTGCCGCAGGGGCCCTCGCTGGCCCTGGCGGCTGAGTCTGTGGCGTCTTGGCGGCTTTGGCTTCGGGACACCCCCAATTTGAAGCTCCTGGAATGGAAAACCTTAGCTGAGACAGCGCGAGCTAATGCTAAGCTTTCGAAGCAAGCGGCAGCGAGGGCCTCATACGGCCAGTTTAAACTGTGGGTTTCTGAGGCGCTTTCAGACCAGGTTGGTAAGCTGCACCAATTTTCTAAGCCAGCCCAGAAAGTCCAGAGCGAGCTCTTAACGGATGGCGGCGTGGCCGGAAGCCCTCGCCAGATCATGGACATTCGCCGCCAGCGTTGGGCCGAGAAGTGGTCAGCGTCTGATGCTTCCCGGGCCTGGGAAAGAATTCAATCGGCTTTCGCTCGCGGCAGGCAGCTCGCCGCGGTGGAAACCCTGGCCCCCCGTTCCGTGGAAAAGCTCCGAGCGGGGCTTAGGCAGATTCCTGTCCAGACGGGGAGGGGGATCGATAACCTCGGTCCCAGGGACATCGAGGAGCTCGCCCCAGAAGGACAGGAAGAGCTTTTAAACCTTTTCGCCAGCGCTGAAAAAGAATCAGCATGGCCATGGCAGTTCCTCCCAGCGATCATAGGATTGCTCCCTAAGGACTCAAGGGGACAGCGCGCAATAGCCTTGCTCTGCTGGTTGACCCGCCTCTGGAGCCTCTTGAGAAAGGATTCGTCTCGGGAGTGGTTGGACGGGCAGGCGGGTTTCTGGGATGAGGCTGTCAGGGGTAGCAGCGCTTTGAGAGCAGCGCTAGCCAGGCATTTCATGGATGAAGCTTGCGACGCCTTGAGCATAGCCCACGGCAGCATCTTATTTGACGTAAAGGAGTTTTATGACACGTTGTGCATAGGGCTGCTCATGCATCGTTGCCTCGATCTAGAGTTTTCGCCTACTGTGTTGCTGCTGTCCGCTCAGATTTATCTCGGGCACAGGATTCTGAGAGACAGATCTTCCTGTAGCGACACGATCTTGCCGACTCTCAGGATAACAGCCGGGTGCAGAAATGCAAAAAATGGTGCCGTGGCTTTCCTTTATCCGATTTTGGATTCGATCCATCGTGCTTATTTCCCGAAAGGGTTGCTTGTTAAGTCTTGGGTCGACGATGACAACTTTCGCACGGAGGGCTCGAGGAAGCAGATAGTAGACAGCCTCATTGATGCCGCCGTCAGTTTTTCGGAGATGATTTCCAGGGATGGCCTCCGCCTTTCGGAGAAATCCTCGGTTCTGGCCTCGGACCGCGCCCTAGCGGCCGAAATCACTTGCTCCCTCAGGGCCGCGGGTCTCCAGGTCAAAAACCATGGGGCCGCGGCCGATTTAGGCATCGAACGGGGCCCTAACATATTGCACAGAGCTGAGCGACACCGAAGCCGCAAGAAGTTGGCCAAGTGGCAAGCTTCGAGGCTGGCCCGGCTGGCGGGCAGCACGGCCGGCGCGCGCGCGGCGCGCCGTGTTGTCACCACAGGGTTGATCCCTCGCATCGCGTACCGCACTCGGGTCATCCCCCTCGCTCCGAACCCCCTCACTCGCCTCCGGCGGGCCCTGGGGAAATTCACCACCTCCCGAGCACGGGGGCGTTGCCTGAGTACTGCCTTACGCCTCGACTACGGGGACCAGGACCCTGCTATCTCGCTGCCGTCCGCCACCGTCGCCCTCTGGTTTGAGCTCATGTCTTCTTCCGCTTCAATGCGCCGACGAGCGACTCGCGCATGGCCGAGGGTGCTCAAGGCAATACGCGAAGCCAAGCCTCAGCAGCGGTGGCGGAAGATAAATGGCGTGTTGGCGGGAACGATTTACGTGCTTCTGGCCGCGGGATGGGACCCCCAGGGTCCCTGGGATTGGACCCACCCCTGTGGAGACAGGTACGCGGTGTCAGAAGCTGCTTTTGAAGGCGATCTCGATTGGGAAGAATTTTTAGAAGTGATTCGAGAAACTTTGCGCCTCTCTGCTTGGACTGCAGCTGCGCGGCACTATAATGGAGGCGGCCTGGAACAGGGCGCCGAGACAACGGACATCTGCCGCGCAATGAGGAGCCTCGCACGGCGCGGGGCGAACAAATGGAGAGGAGAGCTTAGTACAGTTTTGTGTGCAGGCTATTGGCCGAGAGAGCGGCTGCAACAGGCAGGGGTGAAGGTCGAAACCAACGTGTGTCCGAGGTGCGGCCTGGAGCCCGAAACGGACCTTCACCGCTGCTGGGGCTGCGAGGCCAATAGTCAGATCCCAGGGTGCGAGGCCTCTCAGGGGTTGGCTAGCCAGGCCATCGAAGGGGCCGCGCGGCACCCTTGTTCTTGGCTCCGAGGCATCATCCCCATGGAGTGGGCGAAGCTGCCAGAGCCACCAGACACTCTCACTATCAAGCTGGACCCCACGGTACAGGAGGGCCAGGAACTTGGAGCCTGCACGATGCACGACACTCTCGGTCCTCTTCGATCCGAGGGCAGACTCTGGCTCGCAGGCGACGCATCCGGAGGGCCCTTTTCTGGCCACGCTCGCCTCCGTCGAATCTCCTGGGCGGTGGTCTCCACGGGCCAGGGCCAGGACCCCAGGGAGCTGGATGCTGTCCGGGCATCGGGGGCCTTCGGGGGCTCGTTGCCAGGAAAGCGCCAGGGTATAAACCGAGGCGAGCTTTTCGCTTTTAAAGAAGCTCTGCAAGCCACTCCAGGACGCGACCTGTCCTATGTAACTGATAGCGCCTATGTCGTGCGTGGGCTGTTTAACTTGAGAGCGAAGGCCCACTGGCGGCCTAAGAAAAACCGTGATTTGTGGAACCTCGTGCGGGAGCTGGCTGGGAGCCGAGACATCCAAGCTGTAAAGGTCCGAAGTCATGTCTCGGATGAGGAGCTGGAGCGGTCCAGCCCCGAGCAGCGAGCTCTCTTTGCTTTTAACGACTTGGCAGACAAGTCAACCGAGAGATTCTCCCCCGAAGCTCAGGTGCCTCCAGGAACTGCCGACTCTCTTAAGGAGCTCGAGGCAGAAGCGAGGGCCATTCGGAAGAGACTCACATCTATATTATCCTGCATGCCCGCCACGGTTGGAGCCGAGGAGAAGGCAGCGGCGCAGGGAACGGCCAGACAGAAGCTAGATCTGCCAATGGCCTTGCGGGACACAGTGCACCTGCTGAGCGTGAAGGAGTCGAGTGGTCGTCGCCGTCGCCAGTGGCGCTGTCGCACTTGTGGTTCGGAACCAGCCAGCAGGTGCAAGTCCACCGTGATTAAATGGCTCCGCTCGCCCTGCCTTGGCCCCAGGATCGTCGCGCCCGCTGCCAGTGCCCCGCGGGAGGTGGGGCATTGTAGGCGGCGTGTCACGGCGCATCCCTCTCATGCTATGCGGTGGTGGGAGGTGGGGGTGGGCTCTTGGAAGGAGCTGATTTTCGCCTGCTCGAGGTGCGATGGCCTAGGCACGGACCACTTCCGCTCGACTGGCAAGCTTGCCAAAGAGTGCGAGCCTCCCACACGTACGGGGCTCCAATACTTGAAGGCACTCGAGAAGGGACGAGCTCCAGGCCACACGAAGCTGGCCAAGGAGGTCAACGTCCTGCGGTGATCGTGGAGGGAGCGCGCAGCGCAGAGGCTAATCTAAATCTCCTTCTCCTCCTCCTCCTCCTCCTCCTCCTCCTCCTCCTCCTCCTCCTCTTCCCCCTCCTCGTCCTCCTCCTCGTCCTCCTCCTCCTCCTCCTCATCATCATCATTATCCTCATCCTCCCCCGCCTCCCCGCGCCCAATCAGCTCCCGTGGCCCATGTGAGGCGCAGGTGCAATGCCCCTCGTCGCACGAACGCCAGGCTGCACGGGAGCCTGCCCCGCCCGCTCTTGTCACCGGCGAGGAAACAGCCCTGCCGCGCTGCTGGAGGGGGGGCACGGTCAGGGCGTCGTAGAGGAACAAAGATCAGAACCATAACGAGCGGGACGACTTGATATTCTCAAGGTACACAGTCACAACGAGCAGAACGACTTAAGAGTCTCAAGGTCTGCCAGAAATACGAAGCATTGCCAAAGGTCACACGTGCACTCGTGCCCACGCAAGCACGGATCGATCGATGCTACGGTCAGGGCGTCGTGGAGGCACAAAAACAGCACAACCGTAAACTCTCGGAGCTCCGCGCGGACTTCTCGGATCGGCACTGGGCCCCTCCTGGCGGCGCGGGGTCCAGCGCCGAAGGGAGCACGGTCAGGGCTGTACGGCAACTCCTGGGGAGGTCTTCGCGGGAAAGAATGAAGGCTGTCAGGCCAGCTTGAAGGGCCATGAAGCCAGATTGGCCCAGATCGAGCCCAGGCCGAAGCCCAGATGAAGCGAGATGACGCGGGACTACCCATCGGTCGGAAGAAGTAGGTAGAAACATGAAATAGGAAGGCGTTGACAGTAGATTGGGTGTCCGCCCGCCCCCTGAAGAGGACGGAAAAAGGTGAGGCCAAAGTAGATTGAAATCTGGGATTCCAAAAATACCTACTTGCAACGACCCATGAGTAACCAGGATTGAGCCCAAGGACACACACACATAAATACATACAAATAAAATGATTCCCCATATGTTCCCATAGTTTCTGGGTTTGTGTCTTCCCGCCAAATTCCCATAGTTTCCCATATTTTCTTAGGGGATCGACGATTAATTGTGCCTGTGTCTTTTCCCCCTCCTGAATTGTGCTGGATGGAATTCATCTTCGGCCGCGGACACAGCAGCGCCGATGATGAGCGAGGCCTCTCAGGAGTTGCCTCCTACTGTGATGGTGTCGAGGGGGGCCCGCCGAGCTCGGAGGCACGCCGCACGTGGCCAGGGCCGTCGTCCTCGTCGCCGTCCTCGTCCTCGTCGCCGCCGTCCTCGTCGCCGTCGTCGTCCTCGTCTTAGTCGGCGTCGGCGTCGGCGTCGGCGTCGGCGGCGTCGTCGTCATCGTCGTCGTCGCCGTCGCCATCGCCGCCACCGCCGCCACCGCCGCCGTCGTCGCCGTCATCGTCGGCGTCGGCGTCGACGTCGGCGTCGGCGTCGGCGTCGTCGTCGCCGCCGTCGTGGTGGAATGGCGATGGTGAGAAGCCGACGAAAGGCGAGAATCCCGATGGTGGGAGCTCTCGGCCCTCGACCCTCGAGGACGAGACCACGACGACGACGACGACGACGCCGTCGTCGCCACGTCCCCGTGGTCGCCGTCGTCGCCTCCGAGCTCGCGGCGTCGTCCTCGGGCCCGCGCCTCGTACAGCGAGCCGTCCGCAAGCCGCTCGACGCCCTCGCCCTCCTGCACCTGGGCCCGTCCCCCTCCACGGGGGCCGCTGACCACAGACGACGACGACGACGACCGCCACGACTGCAGTCGCGACGCCGACGAGGACGACGACGACGACGACGCCGACGGCGGCGACGGCAGGGGCGGCGACGACGGCGACAACGACGACGACAACGACGACGACGACGACGACGGCGACGGCGACGACGACGGCGACGGCGACGACGGCGGCGGCGGCGGCGGCAACGACGACGGCGACGACGGCGGCGGCGACGACGACGATCACGACGACGACGATCACGACGACGGCCTCGGCGGAGGCGCGACGGCGTGCGACCGCGGGCCACGGTCACAGGCGGGAAGGCCAGCGGGGGCCGAGCGCCGAGAGGACCCCAGAGAGTTCGCCTCCAGGGGGCCAGGGCGGGGGGGTTACAGTAGGAGCTCGACCGCAAGAAAGCAAACCCTGGAACCCCAGGCCGACCACTGATTTTGGTGTGTGAACGCCACGCTTCTCACCGCATAACCATCGAAACCCAAGAAATCTAGGGCACCCTGGATGCAAGCAGGGTGTTTCTTGGCATGGGTTCCCAGTGTATGGCATGGTATGGGTGTGCCCTGACGGCGTCAAAAAAAACATCAATCGAAAAAAACACTCGGCCTCGGACTCCTGATCATCGTCACCGGCCGAGCCACGCCAGGCACCTGAGGCACCTGTGGCCGACCTCACGCACAGCATCGAGCCCTCCCTCCTCCAGCCCGAACGCCCGAGCCAGGGGGGGGCGGCGGGAGCTGAGGGGCGTGAGCTGAGGGGCAGCAGCATCGGTAAAGGGCTTTGTGTTCTACACATGGCCAGGCTCTAGCCATCGAGGCGCACAGCGTTCGTGCGGGAACGAAGTGTCCAGGACTCGAACCGGATTCGGCGCGGTGGCACACCAATTAGAGCAAGGCGGCCGCAGCAAGAGAAAGCTAGGCAAACACTGTAAACGAACAGTGTGCAGGCAGATTATGCGCCCACCTGGTGTCCCTCATCTCGCCTCGGCTGATCTGGGCTTGCTCGACCTAATTACCTGGACTTGCCTCG